CACAATTACACTGTCTCATTATGCAAATGTACGTCATTTTTTCTACCCATCATTTTGCCTTTACATAACCGTTTCCGAGTAAGAATTGAACGGCTGCCCAAGAGGCTAAGTAAGGCGGCAAGGGATTTATATTTTCCCGTTTCCGAGTAGGAATTGAACGGCTGCCCAAGAGGCCAGTTAAAGCGGCAAGGGACTTTTGTTTTCCCGTTTCCGAGTAGGAATTGAACGGCTTCCCAGGAGGCCAATTAAGGCGGCAAGGGACTTTTGTTTTCCCGTTTCCGAGTAGGAATTGAACGGCTGCCCAAGAGGCCAACTAAGGCGGCAAGGGACTTTAGTTTTCCCGTTTCCGAGTAGGAATTGAACGGCTGCCCAGGAGGCCAATTAAGGCGGCAAGGGACTTTCGTTTTCCTGTTTCCGAGTAGGAATTGAACGGCTGCCCAAGAGGCCAACTAAGGCGGCAAGGGACTTTTGTTTTCCCGAGTAGGAATTGAACGGCTGCCCAAGAGGCCAACTAAGGCGGCAAGGGACTTTCGTTTTCCTGTTTCCGAGTAGGAATTGAACGGCTGCCCAAGAGGCCAACTAAGGCGGCAAGGGACTTTTCTTTTCCCGTTTCCGAGTAGGAATTGAACGGCTGCCCAAGAGGCCAACTAAGGCGGCAATGGACTTTTGTTTTCCCGTTTCCGAGTAGGAATTGAACGGCTGCCCAAGAGGCCAACTAAGGCGGCAAGAGACTTTTGTTTTTTCTTAATAATACTTATTGAAGTCGAACTGGCTTTATTGAATTGAAATATTGTAACTCACAATCTCAGGTGTACCATACTTAAATGCAAAAGTAACTGCAACGCATAATAACATATGCAAAAGTAACTGCAACACATAATAACATAAAATACTCCTACTACATTAACAAACTAACTTACTTCCTAATCACCAATGTAAAACTACGACCTACGATCTGCCATCCGACTTCCAACTAAATCTGGATTTCTTCAGCTAAAGTACCTTTTTAACTTGGCAGCATTCCAATATCGCGGAATTGGTTTCCCATCCAAGTGCTCTATCTGATACGCTCCAGTCTTTGTGGCAACTGTTAGCTGCCATTTTTCCATCTCTTGCATTTTTATTACCCATATCTTCCCGCCTAAGCACCAAATCTCCTTCCTGAAACGTCCTTTTGACCACAGTCTTATTGTACCTCATTACTGCTCGTTGCTTGGATGCCAACTCCACCATTGCCATATTTTCTCGTTCTTCTTCCAACAACTGTAAATCAATTTTCATCATCTCAACATTCCCGTCTTCATTTTCTTATAATATCGTTTTCCTCCTCCAGGTTGGCTCTCCGACTTCCACTGGCAACATAGCTTCAAAACCATATGTCATCTTAAATGGTGTTTCTTGAATGCTGGACTGCACGGAGGTCCTATATCCCCACAACACATTATCCAACTCTTCCACCCAACTTCCTTTACACCCTTCCACCCTCCTTTTGAGCCCATTCGTCAAGATTTTGTTAGCCGACTCTACTTGCTCGTTCGTTTGGGGATGTTCTACTGCAGCGAACTTGTGCTTTATCCCCAAGTCAACTACCATCAGTCTAAACTTCTTGTCTATGAATTGTGTCCCATTATCAGTGATAATTATGGTCGGAATACCGAATCTGCAAATTATCTTTCCAATGAAAAACTTCTGGACCTTCTGAGCAGTAATTGTCGCTACAGGTTCCGCTTCAATCCACTTAGTAAAATAATCTGCTGCCACTATCAAATATCTAACTCCTCCAGCTGCCCTAGGGAAGGGACCTAGAAGATCTAAGCCCCACTTATAGAATGGCCAAGGTGACGAAATGGTAAATAACTCTTCGGGAGGAGCTTGATACACATTAAAAAACTTCTGGCATTGGTCACACTTCTGAACGTGTCTTTTAGCGTCCTCTCCCATTGTTGGCCAAAAATATCCTGCTCGTATAGCCTTCCTTGCTAACGACTTCCCACCAAGGTGATGCCCGTTAATTCCTTCATGTATCTCTTCTAGCACATATTCCGTGTTCGGCGCAGCAATACATTTCAGCAAAGGTGACTTTACTCCCCGTCTGTATAATTGCCCTTCTATCATCACAAACCACGTTGCTCGTCTTCTCAAACGACTTGCCTCCATCTTTTCGTTTGGTTCTTTACCAGTCGTCAGATAACCCTTAATTGGGCTCCTCCAATCTACTTCTTCTACCATCCATACTACACTCGGAGCCTGAATGCTTTGCTGAATGATAGACCTCAAACTTCCAGTGGCTTTAGCACTGGCCAACTTTGATAAGACGTCTGCTCGTACATTATCACTTCTTCGAATATGCTCTACGCGGATCTCCTTAAATTCCTTCATCAACTCTTGTACTTTTGCTAAGTACTTTATCATAACTTCTCCTCTTGCTTGGTATACCCCACTTATTTGTGAAGTCGCCAACTGAGAATCACTATACACTGTCAAACATTCCGCTCTGAGCTCTTTTGCCAGAATCAACCTGGCAATCATTGCTTCATACTCGGCTTGATTATTACTTGTGGGGAATGCTAGCGACAATGAATGCTCTACTGCCACTCCCTCTGAATTTTCGACTATAATTCCAACCCCACTACCTCTTTTATTGGACGATCCGTCTACAAACAACTTCCACCATTTATTTTCTTCAGTACCTCCAGGATGCGTCATTTCTACCATAAAATCAGCTAATGCTTGTGCTTTAATTGCTTTACATGCTTCAAAGGTAATACCAAACTCAGATAACTCTACTGCCCACGCCACCATTCGACCTGCTAAATCTGGCTTATGTAACATCTGCTTTATTGGCTGGTTCGTTTTGACTACTATTTGATGGCACTGAAAATACTGACGAAGCCGCCGTGCTGAAATTAGTAATGCAAAAGCCACTTTCTCTACATGCTGATACCTCACCTCTGCTCCTTGCAACACTTTGCTGATGAAGTACACGGGCTGCTGTTGCCCATTCTTTCCTTCTCGGACAAGCACTGAACTTACTGCTTCTTGGGAAACGGACAAATACAAATATAAAAGCTCCACTGGTTCCGGCTTACTAAGAATTGGTGGTGAAGCTAACATATTTTTGAAATGCTGAAACGCAACTTCACACTCTCCAGTCTATGTAAATCCAGATCCTTTTTTTAAGAGTTGAAAAAGTGGTAAAGACACTTGCGCAGATTTAGCCAAAAACCTTGACAGAGCTATCACTCGCCCATTTAACTTCTGAACTTCTTGAACATTCTCTGGACTCTTCATTTCCATCACCGCTCTACACTTATCCGGGTTAGCTTCTATTCCCCTTTCTGTCAACAAGAAACCCAAAAACTTTCCTGCCGGAACTCCGAAAACACACTTACTTGGATTTAAACGCATATTGTGCTTCCGAACTTGCTCAAAAACCTCTTTCAAATCAGCTAAATGCATCCTACCATCTTCCGACTTCACAATCATGTCATCCATGTATACCTCTAACATTCTTCCCATCTGTTTCTTAAACACTTTGTTCGCCATCCTCATATAAGTTGCCCCTGCGTTCTTGAGACCAAACGGCATGACGTTGTAACAATACACAACATTTTCTGTTACAAATGTTGTCTTCTCCTGGTCTTCTTTCCATAATGGTATCCGATTATCCCGGAATATGCATCCATGAACGACAACACTTTATATCCTGATGCCTTATCTACCAGATGATCGATACTGGGTAACAGAAATGGGTCTTTAGGACAAACTTTATTCAAATCCGTGTAATCCGTACACATCCTCCATCTCCCATCCGGCTTCTTAATCAACACGGGATTGGCTAACCATGTGGCATACTCTAGTTCTATAATGAACCCTGCTTCCAACAACTCCTTGGTTTTTTCTTCAATCGCCTTCCTCCTTTCTGCACAGAATCTCCTTTTTTCTGGGCCACCGGCTTCGCTCCAGGAATTATTGCCAAACGATGACAAGATAAAGAAGGGTCCATCCCGGGCATATCCGAAGGTTTCCATGCGAAAAGATCAGCATTCCTTTGCAATAATTCTTTCATGCTAGCCCTCACATCAGGTTCCAACTCGGAACCCATTTTAGTAACATGCTCCTTACCTGCTCCTAACTGAACCTCTTCCATGGTCCCCACGGGCTCCAGTTGTAACAGCCCCAAGCACTGTAGCAGGATATTGTCCGCTTTGCCCCGCGCACAAGCACCGTCGAGCTCACGATTTTACGTTTCGGGTTACCCCCAAAAGGCCTCCTACAAGGAAAGGTATTCACACCCTTATTTAAGGCATGCTTCGTTCCTCTCTCCAACCGATGTTGGACATTACATCCTCCCCCACTGGGAATACAGCGTCCCCGCTGTACACACCGGTCCAGGGCCAGGCTCTGATACCAAATGTAACAGCCCCAAACCCTGTAGCAGGATATTGTCCGCTTTGCCCCGCGCACAAGCACCGTCGAGCTCACGGTTTTACGTTTCGGGTTACCCCCAAAAGGCCTCCTACAAGGAAAGGTATCCACACCCTTATTTAAGGCATGCTTCGTTCCCCTCTCCAACCAATGTGGGACATTACACCAGTCTCTCCATTTTATTTTCTACCCGGGGATCCATCCCGACTACCATTACTTGCTCTTCTTTCTTTTCATCTACTTCCTTTTGTGCTTCTGTCTTCTCTTTTACCTCATCTCCTATCATTACTCGGTCCTTCTTACTTTCGTGTGAAATCCTCAAACTCATATTACAACAGCTTCTTGCCATTACCTGATCCGCCTTTATCGTTGCCAACTTGTCATCCTTAGCTACAAATTTCATTGCCAACTGATCAATTGACAAAAAGATCTTGAATTCCTTCATGAATGGTCTGCCCAGGATAATATTATACGCGGAACCCAGATCCACTACCGCAAACAACAAAGTGACTGTCTTGTGTGTAGGGACAGTCCCCAATGTTAACCTCAATGGAATGTATCCCAAAGGTTTAATCTTGTCTCCTATAAATGCTAATAAATCAGCTCCACATGGCTCCAACTGATCATAATCTAAATCCATTCTTCTGAAAGCATCCCAAAATATAATAACCACTGAACTTCCTGGATCTACCAACATTCTATCAACTTGATAGTTTGCCAACAATCCCGAAATCACTAAGGGATCATCATGCTCCGGGTCTAATATCTCATCGTCTAAATCCTCAAACACTACCTGCTTGCCCGTCTTCTTGCGTTCTTCTTTAAAACGCGGTTTCTCTGAAATGGCCTTACACATTTTTAAGTGCTTTTTCCGGGCATTCCCAGATTCTCCTCCTCCTGCTCGCCCCCCCAGCTATAGTGCAAATATGCCCAACTGGAACTCTACCCGGAGACGGTTGACTTGCAGCTTTTTGATTTCTGTTAGCCTCCCTGTTCCTTCCCCCAGGCGGGCTGCGACTTCGGTCTAGTCGTTGGAGCTTATCTTCCTTACACCCATCTCCTTCTCCTCTTCTTACATATTTTTGTAGTTTCCCTTCTTGGATCAACCTTTCAATAACATTCTGCAAATTAAAAAAATCATTCGTATAATGTCCATACCCCCAATGAAATTCACACCATTTCGTTTTATCTTCTTGTGCATAACTCGACCGAATCGGCGGAGGCCGTGGAACATTTCGCATTTCTGTAGACATTACTTCCTTCAATATCTGGGCTCTGGACGTATTTAATGGTGTGAAATCTCTCTTATATGTTTCTCTAAATCTTTCCCATACTACCCGAGGTCGCCTTTCGTCAAACTGTCCTCTTCCAGTGGGCTTGTCCGGCCTCCTAAATGTAACTTCTCTAAACCCTTGTTCAATTTGCCTCTGAGAAGATCTGAATTCTTCCAAATCGATGTACTTCTAAATCCTTTCCATCAACTCTTCCTTTGTAGTCGGTCCTTTTTTCGCCAAAGAATCTGCCAACCCTCCCGGTTGTAACCCGGTGGTAAATAACAACAAATACGTCTGATTCTCCAACCCCTTCACTTGTCTAGCTTCTGCTTGAAACCGTTCATAATATTCTCTAACCTTTTCTCCTGGCTTCTGTCTCACTCCATATAAATTGTGTGTGGTTTTTAGTTGGGGTCCACAATGAGCAAACTACTGTATGAAACGAAGAGATAAATCAGCCCAACTGTCAATGGAATTGACTGGCAGACCCGTATACCATTCTAACGCCTGCTTCCTTAAGAAAACTGGAAATGTCCAACATAACAAAGAATCTGATTCCCCGCATAATGACATTGCTGCCCGAAAAACGGTTACAAACTCCTTTGGATCTGAGCTTCCATCATAAGCTTTCATATTAGTTGGTTGTTTGAACCAACTCGGAATAGGCTCCGCCCTTAATCTCCAAGATAAAGGGGTTCCTGAAGGACCCTGACCACCAGGCGACTCTCGAATCTCCTGTGGCATCTGTTGTGTTAATCTTCTTGTCTGCTCGTTCCAGCTTGGTCCTTCTTGTCTCATCATCTGTCCTTCATAGCCATGGGGACTATAATTTTCTACTGATTGCCACTCTCCTATCTGAACCCGGGTTCCTGGTGCATAATAGCACTCCTCCTCATCTTGTGGAAAATCATCTCTGTAATAAATATACTGTCTTCCTCCATCTATCCTCCTCCTCTCATCAGTCTCTTCATAACGTCTCTGACTTCGCCCCTGCCCCATATGTCGAGCATAATACTGACAACCTTCCTGTCGTTGCTCGTCTTCCCAAGCATCCGCATGATGTTGCTCATCATCTTCGTCTTGACGCCTACGTCCTCTTCTTGCGTCTCTGACATTCGCCTCATAAACTTCTTCTTCTACCCTCCGATTTACTCCACGTCCTTCCCCCTGATAATTTCTCCTCTCTAAGCGACTTCTGGATATCTGAGATCCTTGCCCTCTTCGAACTTCTGTCCTCCTATTCCCAGTCTCGGGTGGAGGTGATAATGGAATATAATCAGGAAAGGGAGATACAGAACCTCTCCACCTCTCCTAATCATGTGGCACGTTCCTTTCCAATAATCTCTCTTCTGAGTATTGCCTTCTTCCTCTTCCTTCTGGATGTTTCCGGTTCCTTATCTCCTCCATTAACTGCATTAAAGCTTCTCCAATGGTGTCTAATGATTGGCTCCCTCCGCTGGATCGGAAAGAATCCTCTCCCCTTATGTTTTCTTCATTCTCCTCTACTTGCTCATCATGGTTGTTGCTTGCCATGACTCAAGAAAATGTGTAGGATTAGTTTTACCTATTCCCACAGACGGCGCCAAATGTTCTGGACGAACATTAATATGGATCTCCCTCGTAGTTGTCTGCCTGTTATCTTAATCCTTGGTGTATATATAGGTGTAGCTTTAGAACGGTTACCTGTGTCATGGGAGTGGTGGATATCATCATGACATCGTGGTAGGCTCGTGGGAGGCCCACTTATGACTCCATTACTGGGAATGCTGGCTGACTCAACCGACTGCTAACTCCACTACGCGTAGCAGTTACTGACCTGACCAACCGCCTATTCGAGTAAAGTATTTACGGGTTCCGTGTACTTTACTCGTACGAGCAAGTACAACTCGTTGTGTTAACCCGGAACAGTATCTAAAAATCGGGTTCGATCATTCGGTTCGATTGAAAATTCAGTAAATCATTGTTGTGTCTAATCTATTCAGTTTATAAAATTGGAATAGAATAAGAATCAATGAATATTTAGCAGAACAAACATAAAATTGATAAAAGTAACGATTTATTAGTTCAAACTATTTTGAAATATATATATATATATATATATATATATATATATATATATATATATATGGGAAATATTACTCTCCTTTTGCATAAGATTACTTCTCTCCTACTCTCTCACTTCGATTTCCGCACCTCACCTTTTTCTTTTTTTTTCTTTTTTCTTGTAATGGTGGGACCCACCAATTTTATCTCTATAACATAAGATACCTATCTTTTGTTGAAGGAGAATAATAAAACCCTATATATATATATATATATATAACTTAGCTAGATTTTTTTAGTCAAATAAAAATCTGCATAAGATAAGTTTATATGTTTATTCGCCATTCAGTGTAAAACTTTGAAGTATTT